AAAGGGAGGGTTAGAGCATGTAATCAAACCCAAAGTGGGATTGGGAAAAAAGCAACATACATTTCTAGTTCTTAAAGTATTACAAAAAAACAAATTTAAAAATTACCATCTGTGTGTAAATTTTCTTATCCCAGCTGCTGATTAATGACATTTCCTGACATTCAGTTCTGCAGTGATTACCAATATTTACTTATTGTAGATGTATGTGAACATTCTGAACACTCTGATGCATTTTAATGCATACCAGTACTACAATCTAGAAATTATTTTTTGAAATAGAGGCCAAGGGAACCTTTTACTGTGACAGAAATGCTAATTATACTCACTTATTAAAACAGCACAATTAATTTGTGCCACCAAAAGTATTTGGTAATAGAAGCTAGTGGAAATGGGGTACTATTTTATTTTTGTTACTTCATAAAGGCTCTTCTGTGCACTGAACACAAATAAAACTGTGTGAATGGAAGAAGTACTAATCAGCATTTTTATACCTCAGCAGAAGGTCCTGGATAGAAAAAATGTCAGGATAATAGCTCTCAGTCTGTAGGACTTTCTGTTATAACTCTGTACATTATACTTAGGACCATGTACACAGTTTCCCTTGCCTCTCTGGAATGGGCTTGGAATTCATCCTTTTTTAAAAGGAACTGTATCCCAGAATTTGAATTTCCATACAGAAAACATCTGGATTCTCATGTGACAGCTATTTGAGAGGCATGAGCTTCCTATACTTCCTACTGTATTTCTGCCAAGAACCTGAACCCAACTATGCCTACATAGTACTTCATTTTTTTTAAGAATGAAGATGAACAGTGAAGGTTTTTTTGATCGTATATGCAATAATGTAATTGTAACATCCATCATAAGAAGTTCAGAAATAGTAAAGGCTGTGGTTCAGTGGAGCTATCTCAATTTACTGCCCCCATTAAGGGAAAATAAGATTCTTGGGCAGGTTGCCTTACTAGCACAGCATCAGTGTCTTGGTCAGGAAATATTTCCAAAAAACACCTCCTTCAAAAAAAGAAAGAAATTAGGTGTGTATATGTATATATATATAAAATATATATATGTAAATAACATCAATTGAAGAATTGAACTAAAATTGAACTAAATTCCATAATTGAATGTATATGTCTGGGGATAAAGCAAATGAAGAATCAAGATATAGTACTTCAACACTGAGCAAAAGCACTCACCATTCATATCATGACGAATCATGACCTGTAATGACTCAGAACACTGTTTTTTTAAATGAACTCTTACATTCTGGAGCACCAGACAGTCATCTCAAAATATTCAATCAAATAGTAATTTGCTGTTTTTATGCAAAGAAATCCTCCAGTTGGAAACTGAACAGAGGCAACGTGGTAATTTGTGCCTGAATCTGCTCACAGCTTGAAACTAATAGCCTGAAGGAGATGAACTCAATGGTACATTAGATCCAGAGAATATATTCAGGTACACTTATGAGAAACAAAATTCACCAGGAAGAGTCAACAAAGATCCAAGTAGGTCAAATTGTACACCCCAATAAACAAATTCTCAATCACAGGCTTTTAAACAGGGGGAACTAGGGGGCTAGACCAGTCTTTGTTTTATTTCCTGCAGCAAAAGGAGCAATGTTTCTTCACATTCCAGATGTGACCATAAGAGTGAGTTGAAGGTTTCTGTGCTCTTTAGATGATTACCCACAATCCCAAGAGACTACCTCTATGCATTACTTCCCTTGAACATTCTGATGCCCAGCAATTTTCCTGATGAAGGGTGACTAAAAGTGATCATAGGAGCTGCCTGGATACCTCTTCAGAAAGACAGGAAACACTGGGGAGAGAACAAAGTCTAAGGGCAGAAAAAGAGAAGACAGTTCAGTTGCCTGTGAAACAAGGAGTCATCCAGAGAGGCCTAATCTCACTGCTTTGTAATCCCACCATCTATCAGCAGTGGGATCCTGACAGTGTCAAAGGCAGCACAGCCCTGATGTCCATCCAGGTTGCTCCATGTTACATATTCTGCATATGATGCCTTGCCAGAGATTTCCACTTCCATAAAGGCTGCACTTTTTTCTTTCAGTATATGAAGCTTTCTCAAGAGTGTCAAAGTCAGGCTGAAGAGGCAGCTGTATGAACATTTTGCAGACATCCTCTCACAGGAAAGGTGAACAGACACAAGAATTAAATGCCTTGTTTTAGTAGCAAAATTCTTCTGGGAATATTCCTAAATGGTATCAAACACTTAAATGACCTAACTTCTGGCGTTCACAGATGACTTTGTCCTGGACAAATATTGGATGAGAACAGTCTGGGGCAAAAAGGGAAATGTTTTGTATCCTAAGACTATTCCTGCTGTCCAGCTTCTTTCTATCTGGATCCCAGTATGTTCCAGCCTAATGTTGCTTGCTCAGAAACAGCACAGCTGGCCAATTAGCTCTGATATTTGGTGAGAAGGGAACAGGGATGTATATTCCATGCTGTCAGGGCACAGTGACACCGATTACAGCCCTGAGAATGCAGCCATGGCTGCTTGAACACAGCTGGGTGATAAGAACATTTAAGTTATCTGGAAATGCACTAATACTTCTAACATGGAATGATTCAAGTAGCAGCCACGGAGGAGCAAGGACTCAAACTGGTTGTGAAAATCCAGAAGTTCTGGGATGGAGGGGATTATTTAAATGGCACTCCCAATGCCAAGACAGAGATGGTCAGGGAACCTGTCTCTGAAAATAGCTGAGGCAGAAGCACATCTCATGTGTTACAAGGTTCCCTACATTGCTATTTCCAGAGTTTTGTATGTGACTACCCTAATTTATCGTGTCCCTTCACCTCTGACAGTTTTGGGGCATTTTTTGAGGGATGAACAACAAAGGAGGCAGGAGTAAGGTAGTTTGCAACTAAGCAGATCACAATATTTCATTTTAAAATCTTTTCTTATAGCATCCAACCCATTAGGGTACTGAATGGAGTTTTCAGACCCTTAAAATATGTGTGTGCATGAGTATGTACATGAGTGTGTGTGTATATGTATGTGCGTGCATAGTGACATTAGTTTAGTAAAGAGAGTAAGAAAACAATAAAACATAAAGAGAAGAACCTGGAAGTATTTTGACTGCAGCAAAAGACCTTTTGTATGGATTTAAACAGTTCCATTATTCAAGACTGTAACAGCTCCACTGTCTTTTCTTATCCTGTTTTCTCAGGAAAGATTCCCACTCCTCACTCCCTCTACTGTTCTTAAATTCATTTGCATTTATTAACCCTTGCTGCATTCACTTAGTATTTCACACAACATTAAGTTGTTAATTTTCCTTAGCCTTTCCATAACCTACAGGAGATTCAGTGAAAATTAGACTAACTTTTATGAGTATTTTTGTCCCTACAAAGAGAGAAAAAATATAGATTAACAGACAACAGAAAGAGTGAAGTGTGAAATTAATTCTGAAACAGCATTTTGTACTTTGTTGGTAGGTAAAGGGGAGGCCTTGGTGTTGGGAAAGGAGGAAGATTTTGTTTGCCACACTTTCAATGCATGGTTCATGGGCAAAGGAGAGTTGCACTAAGATGTCCCTTTCATGAGTCTCTGCCTGCCACTCTCTCTAGCAAATACACAAACTCCCTTCAACGTATACACACACAGATTACTTCAAGCATTTGAAAAAAAAGAAGTGAATGAGAACAAGATTCTCCTGGTCATCTCCCCATTTCATGAGATTCCCTGAAGGCACAATAATAACCCACAGTTTCTGTTAATCTCATTTTATGTTTCAATAAAAGAGAGAGAACAAAGGGGAGACTGGATTAATATGTTATTAAAAACAAAAAAAAAAAGGAAAGAGAGATAAGTTAATTCCCCCTAAAGCAATTAACTTTTTGTTTCTCCTTCATAACTGCAGTTTTACTATTTGTGTTACATTACTCATGACCACAACTGAAGAATAGGAAAGGCCTAAACAACTGTGAAAATCAAGTAAAAGCTCTATTCCCAGGGTTTTTTTTCCTACGATAGTTTTGCATTGATTTAAAACTGAACCTTCTAGAAACATCACAGGTTCCAAAGAAGCAAAAAACCCAAAATATCAAAGTGAAGCTGATGACATTCTCCCACCTTGCTCCACCTTCAAAAAAGCAAAAATTTAAAACAGAAAGAATCAACCATGCCAGTTGTCATGTTATAATTTGTATTATATTGAATAATTGGCATCACTTATACTAAATGACAGACATTCACTGAAAAGTCTTGTTCTATGGGTAATTTACAAACCAAAATATTTTAACTGGGACAAAGGAAACCTAATGAGAAAAAAAAATAGATAAAAAATCTATTTCAGACCAACCCATGGAAATGAACAATCTTCACCTGCAAATCTGATGATTTACCACGAATTCTACAAAAGTATCAGGAGAGCTCAGTCACTGCATAATAAAAAGTTGTGCTTCAACTCTCTTTCACAAGGATGTCAAGTAAAAATTGGACATTTATGACAATTATTTTAGCACATCACCTATTCAATTCACTTTAAAAGGCAGAATCTTCTCAATATTCTTCCCCAAGATATCACAGTTGACTCCTAGATGTTGACCCACCTTTCTACACTGGAAACACTGGTTCTTGTCAGTCTATTTGTTTATGCTGACATATTCATTGACATGTTTTAAAACAGAGAAAAAATGGTTACTCGATATAATTAATTTCTGTTGAATGCCCATTTTTGATTATTAAAAAATGTAGGTTTAGAGATCATAAATTTTGAAATTATTCTGTAACTCATATTTGCTTCATTATTTTCTATATAATTACAATCTAAAAATATATGCTAAAGTTCAGTAATGTTGAATTATTTGCTTGTAGAATAAAGATATAAAGTCTCAATTCTTACACTGAGTTAGCACATACCAGCAACAGAAATCAGATGCACAGTGAGTGTTTCTACCACAACGTTTTTGTTCCTAATTCTTCATTATTTGCCACAAGCCTTTATTAAATGCTTTATCATGCAGACTTACAGTGCTGTCAATGTATGCTTCAGTCCACACCACATCATGTTCTTGGTCAATAACCTTTGGTCGGCTGAGAACATGAAGATATTCCATAACATTCTCTTGCACATCAGCTAAGGTAGAGATCTGAGTAAAAAACCCTGTGAAAACACAATTCAAACATTTAAATCAGAGAGAACAAACTAAGGAAGACTGCAATAAGGAGTATGATATGGTTTATGTTTGTCATGTTTTCTGCTTATTTATTTCCAAAAAAGGAATGTTTCACAAGAAGCACCCTCAAACAATAATAATTGGTGAAAGCAGAAGTCTGTGAAACCTTTGGCCAGTCCTCAAGGACAGGGTTTCTATTGCTATGAATCCCTGCACTGTATGTACTAAAACTCTATTTCCAGAACTATTGTTGTTTAATGGTTTGGGGCTTTTTTTAATGCTGCATACTTTAAAATTTAGAACTGGTATTATCTTTGTCCAAAAATGTCTCATCCAGTTTGTCCAGTTTCAAAAAACATGATGAATTAGAACTACAGCAACAGGACAGTAGTTGCATATTCTCTAAAACACTCATCCACACACAGTGTGACTGGAAAAAAAAAAGCAATATGTAATTTACAAATATGGCAGGTCATAGAAAATGTAGATTTCAACTAGAATTGCTTGGTTTAGTGATCACAGCTTTGTTAATCCTTTAAAACATCTCCTGCAACCTGACAGCACTGAGAACAGCAGAGGCCTCAGCTATCTGAGCTGTCACCACTTCCTTTTCAGTGCTTGGATGTCAAGTATCTTTATACACCATAAACTTGGCATCTGGAGCCCACATCATGCAAAGGTGATGAGGGACTGACAAATTTCAAGGCTACAGTTTCATCAGGCCTTATTTAAATGCATCACTTCCCCTCAGACACTTTCCGTTAATGAGAAAAGACCAATCTGAAAGAGGCCTCTCTACAACTTTAATCATTTGACAAGATCACAGCATCTGTGGGCCTGGAATCATAAGCTTTATTAATCTTAAGCAGAAAACATGGCAACTGCAAAGAAATTTTGAGCTGTGTTTGTCCAGACAGGGCCAGTTTTGGCAAGATTGTAAGGTTGTCTTGTAGTCTGGATGCCAGAACTTCCTTATTCTGTACACTGTTTATATTTAGACTTTGACAATCGTGTTTCTAGCTATCTGTAGCAAATGTCAAACCTCCCAAGAGTTAGCTTCCTACATTGCAAAATTTATCTCTCTTATCTAGAGATCAGAGGTACCCTATGGAATTAAAACCTTACTGTTCCTATACCGAGGTTTAATGGTTTAATCATCAGATAAAGAGTTGCTCTGAAGTTCTCGAGTGCAGCTGCTGAGGCCATGTAAGCAATAGCAGCAAACCCCTGCTTAAATTTTTGCATTCTAACACCTGCTTCTCGGCTCCCTGGTGTGTGAATTATGCCACCTCAGAGTCCCATACAGTCACCACTACCTTTTTTTGCTCCCCAGTAGGAAAAAGCTCATGAAGGAAATGGATAAGATCTGGTAATGACAAGCATGAGATATGTATAATAATGTGGTAAAAGACAGACACTTATGCTCTGCATGTGGGCTGCCCTTCCACACTACACAGCCCTTGCACTGTTTTTTGGATGCCTTGCTTTTCTCTAAAATGTCCACCTTTAGACTCATAACTTTTCAAGATGCCTCCGTTTGATTTTCACACGGAGCACAGCACCTCTCATTTTCGGGGCACTTCGCAAAATAGATGCAACATTCTTGCAACTAATAAAATGTCGGAATTAAAAAATCCTCTTCGTGCAGGGACTAAGGAGGGAATTCATTGTTTCACTGCAGCTGTAAAACTCCCATGGAGATTCCCCCCTCTCCCCCCACCTAAGAGGCCTCTGGAGCAGGTGAACAGCCTCGGTGACTGGCTGCCTGCCACCCCCCACCAGAGCCCGCAGTGCGGGAGGTGCTGGGGTCATGCTAATAATGGGAGTGGATGCTTCCTGTACGGAACTCTCCTCTGCTAATACAATAGCCTATAAACTGCTCCAGCTGGGGCACAACCTGCCTCGGGGCTGATCTGTCCTCTGCTGGAGTTGGAGCCCCTCTCAGCCCTCCCATACACAAAACATTTTTCTCTACGTTGCCCTCTCAGCCTCTGCTCGTTCGTACTGATGAATCCTATCCTTTTTCCATTTTATGATATGCCAACCACAGTGAGGATTCATACCAAAGTATTTTTTAAAAAAACAAATAAGTAAAACAGAGGCTGCAATAGTGAATTTTACTGAAAAGAAAAATATTTAGTTTCATTGGTCTTGTTAGCAAGTAATGCATTAACTCCCATCTTTATCTCTACAGCTTTCTGCTAGAAGTGACTGCTGAGGGAAAGGCAGTGCCTGCTTACTTCTAAGTTCTAGATACTACTGCTAACATCTGGCACATGCACACTAAGCACTAGGAAATTTTCACCTTTCTTGGCTTCAGAATCTTAGTAAATCTTTACTGTTTTCCTTTATGTGCACTTGCTTATGATACAGAAGGGCAAATTGCTGCAAATTCAAAAAATGCTCTAGAGGGATTTTGGGGATCTTGAATGTTTTAATGTATTTAAAATGGTTTGGTGTTTTGCTTCATTAAGCAAACTCCCTCTAGATATGCCCTACTTACACAGAAAAATGTAGCAGAAAAACATGCTTGGGGTTTTTTAAGGTTTCACCATCATAAGCTAGAAGCTAAAGAAGTTTTGCAAGGTGGTATGAATTTCCCCTGTGACCCATTTTGAAGGAAAGGACTGCTGTCCACAGTCCAGTCAGCTGGAAACCCTGCAACAGCCTTCATCTATGTTGTGCTTCCAAGGGGAAAATCACTGCAAGGAAAATTGATTTTAGGGTCATTGACCCTCAGTGACAACAGCATACTTTGGCCCACCCATGCAAGGAGTAAACTGCAGTCCACGCATTCAGCCAATTTTAGACCAGTTTTACTACACTCCTCATCTGTTGTGCTTTAATTCTTCATTTCACTAAAATAAAATGGACAAGATGTAGCTGAAAACAGTAAGAAAAAGATCCAAATTTCATACTGTCTGACATAGTGACTTATGCTGTTTCCAATTGTGATTTTCAAAGCTAAAAAAAAAAATAGTTACTGATTAGAGGTAAAAGATTTTTGCATTACAAGCTATCAGAGAGCAGGTATTGTAACTATTAAACTGAGAGGGAAATAAATTTATAGAAGTAATAGTCATTAAGCTGTTTAGTTGATTCATATGAGTAAGACTCTGACTCAAAGCAACATGGCCATGAAAAGAACAAAGTAGTCCTGAAGAATGACAAAGGTGACCACTTTTCCCCCTCTGGGAATAGGGAAGACGTGGACCAGATGATCTGCTAAGCCAGTCTCCATTGCCTGGTCCTAATTTCTGAGTTGCTGTACTTAGATCCTTATGAATTTGTGGAGCTGGGCTAAAAAGTTAAAAGATTTTGTTGATTAAATTGTCTTCAAAAAAGATGCTTCAAAGGATTCTTATACTATTATTTAAACTAAATTATGGTGTAATATTAGCTGATTAAGACAAGACTTCAAACTGAGTAATTTCCATCAGCTGGACATAACAGTAGTTAAAGAAATAATGACTAAATGGATAGCACCTGATGCAATTCATCATAATGTAATGTGGCACAATAGAAAAAGAACTTTTTTTTTTTCCAAGAGGAAAGGAAAAGGAAAACCTGAAGATTAATTAGGGGGTTGGGGGTTTTTTTATCCTGAATCATTCTTTTATTAGTCAATCCTTTTACTGTAGCATCTCAGCATCTTAAATGTTTTAATGCTCTTCCCTTAAACGATATAAAGCAGTTTTTTTCAATTACACTGTCAGTTCCTCCAGGGACAGAATGTCTGGTGTTTCACATACCGTGCTTAACACAATGAAACTTGTACCCCATGTTCTTAGAAATCAAACTAACTCTTAGTAATAACAGCCTTAATAGCACAAATGCTTCAAAATTAGTTTGTTCTATGAACAAAAATTCAAGACCACATAGTTTAAAAGCTTCATGCATATTTTAAGAAAAAAATACATTTCAAATTGGATTCGTTTGGCTCTTTAAATTTTATGTTACAAGATACCAGTCTTTTCATTTTCTGTAAAAAAACCCAACTCATCCTCTCTCATCAGTTGCCAGTGACACCATATCTCCAGAAGGGTCAGGTATGCAGGAAGGCACAGGAATAGGGGTTTGAAAACAAGGCTTTCACAGATGAAGGTGAACTAACCTTTGTTAGCACAGGCCATCCACTTCAGGTTATCAGCAAATGCTGCTTCTCTTCCAATCAGATAGGTAAAAATACGAACCTGAAAGCACAATGCAAAAGATGAGCCAACTAATACTGCATTTAAAACACATTCAGTAGAACTCCAGATACACATGTGTCGTTCATATGGATACCCTTTCTAAGAAAGTATTACTGGTTAAGTAGCACAGTATGTTAAAAAAAAGATCTCTGCCAGTAATGTCTTCTTGATAAAAATGTGGGGTTTGTTCTATGTAACAGAAGAACTGATCTTTCTGAATGTGTTTAATATCTGACATTTAACTAAAGTTACGTTTAATATGTAATTGAGAATAAACTAAACTACAGAATAAACCCAGAATAAACTAAACTGGGGTACAAAGCAAAACTGCATGTTTCAGACAAATCTGTTCTGCACTCATTAATTCAGAAAATCGCTATGAAGTGGGGAACAGGCACTTAATTAGCAAATACTGCTGTAGATAAAGGATCTGAAACACCAAGCAAGCAAATTCCCCTCAGTTTGCAAGGTTCCTGTGACACAGTATCACTGTCAACTTAGAGACAGGTACTCACAGGAAGCACTTTAATGTAATTTAATTCCTTTGCAAATAAAAAAAAATTAAATTTCAATATTTTTTCCCATTAATATTTTTCCTCGTTCACAAAATCAATTATTTGTAGAATAAACAACTTTATACTAAGTTCCCATAGGGCTTTTTTTTTTTTCCTCACAGAAGTGTTTTTAAAATACTTTGAAAGTTTCCCTCTTCTCTCACTGCCCTTTTGTCCATTTTCTTAATGGCCACATCCTGTTCTAAGCACAGATGATGTTTTGCCTTATTACCATGCCTAGAGATCATCAATCATAAAAATCTTCCCATTCTTTTAAATATCAAATGTACACAGAACTCAGTCATGATTTACACACTGGTTGTGTAGTGTTGCAAGTTTGAATCCAACAGTATCTATAATCCCACTCTAAGACTCTAAAGAACACAGTGTTAGACAAAAGAATGGTACTTTTGTACTTTGTTGATGCCTATGAAAAGCATTAATAAAGAAAAGCTTTATTCTACAAAGACTCGTGAAAGTGTACAGTGAGATTTACACTCTCAAAATACAGCATAAATCACTGCCACAGTTTATCTTCCTGAAAATGATGCTCAAATACAGCCTATGGGGAGACTGAATACATCTGAGAGATTTATATTCAATGATCTGCTTTAATCTATAAAGAATCAAACTAGAGTGTGTTCTTAATAAAAGGAGACCAGCCTTATCTAAATGGATGAGCAGTAAGCATGATAACAGGCATAAGCAGCACAATAACTCCATGGAACATACAAAAAATAAAATTTCAACAAATCAGTAACATGGATCATCATGAGGAGTGGGCTGCCTCTGCAATACTGCTGCAAAGATTTAAATGATTTTTCTCTGACTATATTTTCTACATCTAGTTGACCTGGTATCTGAAGTTTTGCTAGAAAATATTTAAAGCATCATAAAAAATGCTGCTAATTATTTGTCATTACTTGAAAAAAAAATAAATCTATAAGACAGAGAGCTAAAACTGAAAATGAGTTTATTAAATGTTGCTTTCCTTTCCTGTTCCCAGTCATTGTGCATTTTTCTCTATACATTTTTCATGGTGTATGTAATACAAATGACATTTACCAGTCAGCATGAAATAAAAAGTCTTTTATATAATAAGTTACATTATAATTTTAAAATACCATTTTTATGTTGTTCAATACTTAGAATACTTTATTATTCATAGTAGCTTTGTAAGAAAATAACCATGAGAGGGTCACAGAAAGGCATTTTTTAGTTAAAAATAATGCCACTGTTACATTAAAGTTTTCCTTCTACATTGGCCTTAAAGACACATTAATAGGTACTGTGAAAATTTTTTAATACTCCATTCAGAATAGCAAGAAAAATCCTCAAAATCAGTTCTGATGAAAAACAATTCTGATTATTTCTCTACTTCTAAAAGTTTCATTTGATCAGTTCATGGGACCCATTAGGTAAACTTAATTCTCTGTGAGCTTGAAGTGAAAAACACACCAGAAATAATTTTACAAAACAAAGGCTTGCCATATTATTTTTTGCTTTCAGAAATCACAACAATGACTTAGGTAATGAATCATTCAAACTAAAACTTGTACGAATAAGACTACATTCTAAGTCCCATTTTTAAAGACAACCTTGGTTCCACACACCTCTTACACTAGTTTTACTTTCCTTGATAGGTATTCTCTGTGAGAATTCTGTATGTACCATCCATGGTATAATACCAATAAACAGGAAAAAAGTCACTGTAGCTATAGATGTGTGTCCTGCATATACATAAAAATATAAGCCAATATTACAGAAGCACTACATTAATTTAGCAGGGTAAGTTCCAGCTACTTCTGCACATGGATAAGACCTGTGCAATGATGGGCTCCACATGGTGCAAAACAGGACACACTGATCGTAGTGACCACTGAAATTTTCATTGTACATTGACTAGACATTAGGTACCAGATTTAATATCTATCCACATGCCCAGATACCATGTAAGATATACATTGGAAGGTAAAAGTTTTTATAGTTACCCCCATTTTTTCTTCTTTGTGTATATGAAACAACTGAATTGGAGGTGCATCAAATAAGTTCTGCTCTGAAAAATGGTTGCATGAAATGTTTATTTTACCCAAACAATCCAGATACAGCACTAATATTGTATAGTCCGCTGAAAAATATATATAGCACTGAGGCAGATGATTGAAATCTCTATAATTAATAATAGATGAAATATTAGGTGTGTCTCTCCATTGTTTGTATTGGACCTTAAAGAAAATAACACAATAGAAACTAGGAGCTTTCAGAGGTATATACACTACACACATACACACTGATACACCTATATTGGTATGTTATGGTACAACATAATGTTAGGACACCAGGAATTCTTTTGAATCCATATGGAGAGAATGTTTTAGTCAAGGCAGACTGAAAAAATTCAAAGTTATTATGGGTCAGTCCCAGAAGATCCAGTAACAACATTTACATAGTCTACATGTGCTCTGGCTAACTGAGTGGAAGCCAAATGAGAAAAACACCTTTGAATATCCAAGTGCTGTGACTGAATCAAGAGACCATTTTCATCAGAGAAGGAATCTGCATCAGAGGATGTAAGTATCTCTCTGGCAAAAAACATCTGACAAAAAAGAGCCCTTCAGTTCTGGGTAATTTTGAAAGCTTTGCAAGATACTTGAGAAACCTGAATCAAAATATTTTCCGTGTCTGACCTGTCAAATATGATATCAACTATATTAAGGCTTATCACGACCTGTTAGCTGTGGAGAGAGAAAATATTCTCAGGCAGAAGCACTAGTCTTGAATTTTTATATCCATCTACAAAACTGAAAATTGTAGATGTCAGATTCACTGAATGAAAAGCAAAATTTATTCTAAGAGCAAAAACCTTAATCTTTGCAACTACACTTGCTGTTTCTGCACAGTAGGTATCTCCTGCAGATGTGCCATAGACTACTATTTTTCAAGCCAATGTTCACAGAAAATGGAGTGAGGGCTCCATAATAATATTAAGGAAACTGAAAGGACAATGGAACTAGTAACTTTAATAGAGCTTGTGACTTTCTCACTTCATATTTTCTACATTTTTTCTAAAGCAAGTGTTGAATAGCAAAAAATACCACTTGAGATTGATGTATTTTAATTATCTTTAAAACAGCAGCTGTGGAAACCTCCCATATATTAGCTACTTATTATGCCTCATTCCGGACCTAGAAGGGTCACCTCTGGAAAACAGCACTCCATTCACTTACCTTTCTTACTGAAAGATTGTTGCAGAAGCTCAAATTATTCTGAACTGTGGAGTGAAATTCATATTACACAACTAACTAATTTCAAGAGTGCATTTTATGATGGTCAGCTTCTCTGTGCAAGACTGTGGATTCTGGTCCAAACCACTAGTCCGTAGTAAACCAGTGGTAAGAAGCACAGCACGCCAACAGCTGTCACAAGTTGTGTTGGCAACTACTCCCATGTATGCAGCAGAACTAATTAATATTAAGGCACTGAACCACCAAGTTCAGTAGTTCAGACAAAATTGAACACAAATCTTACACTGAGTAAAATACCTAAATCAAAAACAGATATCTAACTGCATACGTTATCACCATTTTTAACCTGTTTGCTCACTGGTTTTCCAATCTCTGGTTTTTCACATTCTTGTTGCCTTACCTAGACACAGATCATGATTTGGACTAAACAGGTAGTTGCAGCCCCTCAGATTTTGGAAAATAAGACAGTACTGATAATAAGTTTCTTGCTTTTACAGCCAGGGAATATTCTGAAGTTTGAACCTTTAGACTCTGGACAGAAGGTTTATATAAAATCTCAGAGATGCATACACTCAGCCATTAGCAAGGAAACCTAAGAATGATGACTTAAATGACAGCTATTTCAGTGCTAAACACTTCATGTGAAATATCCACTTAGCAGTTCCATCCATTATGCATGGGCTAATCTGCAGTCCCTGAACTGTCCTCACCTCTGAAACTTCATTAAATTCACAGCACAGTGAAGAGAACAGGGACCTTCTTCCATCTATGTTAAGCAAGACGAGTCAATCTGCAAGATTCTACACACTGGAACTGTGAAGTCATATCTTCATGCCAAACAGCTGGTAAAACAGTATTTCCAGAAACTTAAAATACCGTGTGGGAGGGGAAATGGGACTTCTTATTGCAGCTGACAGTGCAAACCTCTGTTTGCAGCTGCAAACTATTTCATGGACACCTTCAGCAAAATAGTCTTTCCTTTCTGGCTCAGCAAGAAATAAAAATAGTCCAGTGGCAAGAGCTATGGAATTTAAGTTTTAAGTGGGATATAGGGATGAAATTCAAGTTCCCACAGTTACAAGCCATGGTGGTCCAGGAAAGCCTCAGGTAGTCTCTGCATAGATGAGCAAATGGACTGATTTGGAACAATGGATTGATGTGAGACTGAGTGATTGCCTGCACTCCTAAGGAGCCTCACCCA